ACCTACTTTTCCATATTTTGCGAGGTAAATCTAATTGGAATTGGCAAATCACTTTTTTTTGAATAAAGAATCAGTGTATAAATTGTTTGGGCGAATACTTTTTTTATGTACATATTACTAATCAAGCAATGGTCGAACCTTGTGCCCATAAATATGTCATAAACCTAATAACATCGCAATCATAGCATAGCAATAGGATAATCTCTTCCGAAAAGCCCATGGTATTCGTTATAATGGGAATTGGGAATATCCGTTGACCTTAAATAAGAGCTGTAGAGACCAATTCCTACTATTTTGCTTCTTTAGACGCGCAGCTATCTTTCAGTTCTCTAACAACCTTTCTTTCTCTCTCACTTGATATCTTATTCTTAAATTCCGAGTGCTTAAATATCTGCACATCAGCATCCTCTATTCAATCATTATTTCTAGGCTGCGCCTCTACAAGCCTTAGAACTAATTTGTGATTTACCAATTTTTATACTAATTATTTTTGTGACAGCAGCTTGCTCCTTCTTGATCAGGCTGCCCGACAATTCATCGTAGCACTTTAGCTGAACATATTCTTCCAGAGTTAAATCGGAACAGAGATTTGGTCATCCTAGATCGCTTAAGGTTATGAAAGACCGATAGTTGAATTTTCCCATAATTAGAAGAGTAGGCCTCATGATCCCCTTGCATTTCAATTTGCCTTATTTCTCACAGAGTATTTAAATCCAGGATAGACTGCACCGCAGTTTCGACCTCACCTGAATTCTATCAGCATCCCAAGTGGGAATCAAACCCAAATAGTGCAGCATATAATTTAGAGATGTTAATCAGTCTCGATTTCCATTAATAATGCTGATAAGGCACAGGCAAGGTCAGATTTTATTAGATAAAATTCAACGGCAATATGAAGTCTTCTAATCTCATTGTAGGAGAATTTACTATCACACCTGTGTCACTTTAATTTAAAGTGATTAAAGCTCTTATTTAAACCCATTGTTTAACTATTGAAAATGTAAGTTGAGATAGGATTAACTTGCCTTACACTAATTTAGTGACACTATGGCTCGGTGGTGGTGAAGCATTAGTCTGAATTCCCTTGAAAGAGGCTGTTTACTGACATTTGAATCAAATAATTACCTTCATGAGAAATCGAAAACAATATCCACTTTTAGGCTAAATGGCGCGATGGGGTTTTACGGCAAGACCATCTGCGTGTCTGGAGCACTAACCAGCAAATTCCTTTGACCAGTTTTCCGTTTTGATGCCTGCCTAAAATGACATTTAAAAATTGTGAGACCATTTTGTCCTAAATCGTAGAGAGGAAGAAGAAGATAGTCTGGCCTTACGCTTAGTTGCAATTTTCTTAAGCTCTGCATTGCTGATTTAACGTCTTTTTTGCAGCTTGATCGGAGCGACGAAAATACTTTGTGGAACGTACTTAGTTCTGCGTGCCCTACACAGAGTTACAATTTATCAAAGTTATAAATGAAATGAATACTACGGCAGAGAACACAGGACTAAATACGTTCTACTGTCGCTCTGACAAATTTGCGAAAACGAGGTCAGCCAACCACTATTTACCCTAAAGCCTGTCCCAGTATCCTTACAATGCTCCCCCAAGATCGGCATTAGAAACGACAAGGAATGTAATTTTTAGTAATTAACATATATTCCTATAGTGGTTTCCGGACCGACCTTTATTTATCCGCAAAAAACATATATGATTAAGGTGATTTCTATAGTTATGCAGGTTGCGCGTTCAAAATTGGCGAGGAATTCTGTAAAAATAGAATAAGAGTTTCTTATGTGGTATGCCTGGTAAGGCAGTAAATTTGGCATTTAATATTTACATTAATCTCCTATAACTACAAACGAAGAAGTAATCATGAAGTCTTCACGAGTAACTTTCCGATATCAGTTCCATTAACTCAAAGCTTATATTTTTGACCGAGTACTAAATAGTTAAAAATCTCTTGAAAATGCAAGCTAATGTTTCAGCATGGTTTGTGTTATTAACTGTAACTTAATATTTCTCGGTTCTGACTATGCTACCACATGCTGTCACTTCTCCCTGCCAGAGCCCAATCCAGCTCAGCTACACACCCTTACGCACCTCGAGCAGTTTGTCCTCCAAGCCCGATAATTCCAACTGCAGGGTTTCTTGTTCCTGCAAAAGTTTTATTCTCCGCGATTCCAGATCTGGCCTTTCATGGCGCAGACTTGCGGCCAGCAGCTGACCGATCAGCCCAGCTCTTGTGGTAGCGAAGTTAATCACAGTGACGAGTGAGGCTGCAGAAGCCAGCTTCATCTCGTTGAATCCAGCGCCCCAGCTCTGTCTAGTCGCCAGATAAAGCCGAAAGTCTGGATGATAGTCAACTAACTTCTCGCCTAACTGTACACTCGAACGAGGTCCTGGAATAACAAAGAAGAGAATTTCAATAAGAACAATGGCCTCACGTGAGTGAGTGAGAGAGAAACTATGCACTTACAGCGTAAGTTGGAAAGTAAATGACGAATGGATGAGTCAAACAGTGAAACTGTGGGGGAATGAATGAGTGCAGCCAGTGAGAGTGAGTGCGTGACTATGAAAGTAAGAAAGTGAGTGGGCGAATTGAAAGAATTTGTGAATATAAAAGTGGAATAACGCATGAGGGCCAATGAGGGAGTGAAGAAATAGTTACTGAGTGAATAAGCTAATCGACGAGAAAAAGAGTGATAGTTAAGGAGGAAATTAGAGGTTTGTCAAGATAAATAGAAGGTAAGACTATGCAAATTAGTTAATGCAATAGTTCAGCCAATCTTAGGGCCCTCTAAAATTTCTCCCACTTATGAGAGAATATCGCGTTTTGTTTAAATAAGCAACTTGTTATATTAATAAAACTGAAGCATAATAGATGGTGAAAATGTGCTAAATCAGGGTAGCTTGGCAGTAAACTCTGGCTGTCAAGTTTAACAAGATATACTATGCGTCGTACGGTACAAAAAAATTGAGAGCAAGTCC